CCCCCTTAAAACAGTATTAAATCTAGATGAATTAAAATTACAATAATGCCCTCCTCCTGCTCTCTTCTCCATCTTGCCACATGGAAGGAATAGAGAGACATCTGCTCAATAAGAGCTTTACGGGGTTCCCAGGCCTGGGAAGAGGAGCAGGTTTTTCTATGGAGGGACCGGCTGGAGGGGATGGTTCAACAGCTTTGAGTCCTCCAGACCAGATGCTGAAGGGATGGAGAGGAGGTTACGGAGGCTGTGGGTCCAGCCCATGGGAACCTTGTCCAGCTGCAGGCACAATCCCTTCTCTGTCCCCCTCATTGCCTTCCATCCAGGCGAAAAGAGAAAATACGTTAATTGGGTACGGAGGTCGCCTTAACGGTTAAACATCGGACAGGCTGACCCAACTCTGTTGCAAAATGCAGCACATGGCCATGCATGAAGGTTGCCGGTTCAGGGTTGTCCCAGGGCCTGGGGTTTCTGGGCTAAAACCTAAGACCTAGGGAAGGCCCCTGGTCAAGTCATGAAGCGTTATGCAGTAAGTACTTGGCTGGAAAACCAAGAGGACCATTTCCCATATTTGGGCCAGGAGCATTAGTCTATTGCCTAAAGCAGTGCAGACAGGAGCTGCACAATCTTTTTTCTTTTTCAGGATCATAATGGAATGGTTGGTTGGTTGGTTGACATGCACTATGGTTGATGATTATTTATGTTGAGGTAGACACTTTGTAAAAACCAGGGTGGTGTCGTGGTTTGTGTGCTGGGCTTGGGAGACCACGGTTCGAATCCACGGAAATCCACTGGGTGACTTTGGCACTTCTCACCCTCTTTCAGCCTGAGGGGAAGGCAATGGCAAACCCCCTCTCAAGAAATCGTAGCATGTAAGCTTTGTTTTTTAGAGCCAGGGTGGTGTTATGGTGTGAGCGCTAGACTTGGACATTGGGAGACCAGGGTTCGAATCCCTGCACTGCCATGCAAACCCACTGGGAGACCTTGAGCAAGTCACTCTCTCTCAGCCTGAGAGCAACTTCCTTTGAAGAAATCTTGCCAAGAGACCCCTAGAAGATGATTGTTGTAAACTAGAATTGACTTGAAAGTGCATAACAACATCAGACATTTTGTGCATTTCTTTGAAACAGAAAAGAATAAAGAGTAAATAGATAGATAGATAATTAGATAGATTAGATAGATTAGATAGAATAGATAGATAGATAGATAGAGAGATAGAAGATAGATTTTGTATGATTCTGTAACAGACAGACAGACAAACCCTGTTTTCCCACTTCGATATGTGGGAAATATCCCACTTCAAAGGCTATCTGTTCGGAATGCATTGATTGTGTATTCCTGCATGGCAGGAGGTTGGACTAGATGTCCCTTGGGGTCTCTTCCAACTCTATGATTCAATGATACATTCTTCCACATGCCCAGGAATGTTATTTTCCACTCGGCATCGGAGGCCTGAGTGATGGACAGGTGAACGCAAGGTGATCTCTCCCCTGGCCAGTGTCCAGCCCCATCTGTCCTTGCATATTCCCACCCTCGGCCTATTGTCCAGCCATGCCCCCCTGACCCCCTGCGGAGGGTACAGCTGGCAGCTGCTCCAATTAAGAAGCCCTGGGAACAATGGAGGTTGGCGTCGGTGGGAGGGTAACTAGGTCCAGGGTTGGCGTTGTCTGGGTTCCCGCAGGAAAGGGCTTTGCTGGCGAGATGAGATTTTTTCAGTGACCCATTGCCTTGTTATCGCGGCATCTCCAAACATAAATGCAAATGTGGACAGGGAACGCATGAGCAGGTGGAGAGGGGACGCATCGGCCTGTCTGGTCCACTTACAGATGCAATAGTGGACAAGGCAGCCCAGGACAAAACAATATTTAGCCTCCACATGCTTCATTTGCTAAGGCTAGCAATGGCTCAATGCATGCTTTCAAGACATTTCCAACTTATGGAGACCCTATCATAGGGTTTTCTTGGCAAGTTTCTTCAGAGGGGGGTTGCCATTGCCTTCCTCTGAGGCTGAGAAAGTGTGACTTGGCCAAGGTCACCCAGTGGATTTTTATCCTCGAGTGACTCCTTGACCTCCAGAGTCGTAGTCCTATGCTCAAACCACTAAACCGCACTGACTCTGAGGCCATTCTCAGTTATTTTCTTTTTCTTTTCAAGGAGATAGCTACGTTTGTCACATAAAAAGAAGAAAAAAAGAGGAGAGGAATCTTGCAGTACCTTTAAAATTTACCTATTTTAGGATGACCTTTCACGGATATCAGTCCCTCCCCTGAAGCAAGGCATCGGAAGTGGCTGATATCCAGGAAATCTCGTACTACAATGAAGATATTAAAATTAAATGAATCAGTTAAAGTGCATCAGTTACAGCAGTTTGATACGACTTGAACTGCTACGTCTCCCACAGTATGGAAACCTGGGCTTTATAGTTTGGCAAAGTACTTAGACTTCTATCCCAGAATTGGAATCCAATAATGTAGTGGTCTGAGAACTGCTGAATTCAGTATTCTGTCTTCCTTATTGCTTTTTAAAAGCCATCCTAGAAGGTGATACTGTTGGTACATTATTGTTGTTGTGTGCCTTCAAGTCGTTTCTGACTTATGCTGATCCTAAGGTGAACCTATCTTGGGGTTTTCTTGGCAAGATTTGTTCAGAGGAGGTTTGAATCCTAGTCTCCAAAGCCATAGCCCAACACTCAAAGCCCAACACTACATCATGGTTGCTCTATTCAGATACTTACTGTGGTTGTGTGCCTTCAAGTCATTTCCAATTTATGATGATCCTAAGGGGAACCTACCATGGGGTTTTCTTGGTAAGATTTGTCCAGAGGAGATTTGCTATTGCTTGCTTCTGAGGTTGAGAGCATGTGACTTGCTCAAGGTCACCCAGTGGGTTTCTGATCCTCCTTATCCTGTCGCTTTCTGCCTTTCTCCCAATGAAGCAGTCAGGCTTCTGACTCATCTCTTTGTTTATTGCTCGCTCCCATTTCTTTTGTGGTTAACCAGTCTTGTCGTTCCCAAAAGCCTCGTCTGGAAATTCCTGTGGACCGTGTCACCTTGGCTGCACTGCGGGGATGAGAGCATGGAGAACAGGCATGCCCCAGGGAGGCTTCAAGGTTTTCTTCTCCTTGTTCTGGGTTGACTGTTTGTCTTTTGCGGATGCTTCCAGACAAGGGATTCATTGTGCAACCAGTTCTTCCGCCTCATTCCCAGAACTTGACTTGGGGGCCGAGGGCTGCTGCCACGCTGCAGAAATAAAGCTGCCAGATACCACTTGGATGGCCATGATTCAATGCCATGACATTCTGGGAGAGATAGTTTTGTGGGAGCTTCCAGTGTGGTGTAGTGGTTTGAGCGTTGGACTATGACTCCCTCTGGAGACCAGGGTCTGAATCCCAGCTCGGCCATGTAAACCCACTGGGTGAACCTTGGGCAAGGTACACACTCTCAGCCTCAGAGGAAGGTAATGGCAAACCTCCTCTGAACAAATCTTGCCAAGAGAACCTCATGGTAGGCTTGCCTTGGGGTCCCCATAAGTTGGACACAACAACATGAAGGCACACAACAACTACAAGAAGAAGGTCCTAACCAGCACTCAATGAACAGTTTTAGCCAGCAGCCAATCTTTACATCTCTTATTGATCGATCATTTTAGTACACTTCTGATGGCTCACTCCTGAGGAGGCTCAACAGGAGTCTTGGTGGATCAATTTTGCCAGATCTTTTGAGTCTTTGGAAGAGCAACACTTGAGCTGCTCATATTCTGGGGTCCATAGATTCAAAGGGTTGGCATCAGTAGGAGCTGGCAATAGGGTTTTGGCTGTGATGCTTTCCTCTTTGTGGCCTGGATGCCACCAGGATGGAAGGAAGGCCCTTGGGAAAGGATCCATTTCAGCGCTGGGAGAGAAGCCGATTAGTATGCTGCTCATGCTTCTTTTGTTGGCTCCCCCCATCCGGTGGCCTCCTCCAATTCCTCTCCTGGATGGTACACCAGTTCCCATCATTGTCCAAGTACCTCCCAAGCGGATGTGAACGTCCTGCTCTTCAGCCCTGGTTCGCCGCAGCATCCATCCCAATTAAGAGCGGGCCGGAGCCATTGTCCCTGGCATTCCGGATCCATGTCAAGTAGCCCTCCCCATCTCTTCTCCTGCCCCCCATCTCCCCTCCTCACATCACCCTGAAAAGGCTCTCAGACAAAGAGGCCTCAGTCTCGGCTTTGCAAGGGACTTTCCGCCCGATTAACGGTAACATGGCGGCACTTTCAACCTGGCTGGAATTGGGAAGACGAGAGAGAATTCCAGGGCTGGGACAAAGGATTCGGGACAAAGCCATTTCAGAGAGCCTGTTCCCATCCTGACTGGCAGACTTTGCCCCTTGCATTAAGTGGGTTGGGATGACTCCTTGGGAACTGGCACCGATCCGTGTTCTGGGTTTTGCTGGGTGGCATTTCTCGCTCTGGCTCCGCTTGCCAATGTCCCTTCCTCAAAGCTAATTAGGTAGCCAAGGGGAATTCCTGGCATCAGTAAAGAGGCTGAGTGAATCAGAACCTTTTCTTTCTTTTAAAAAGGGTCCCAGCCAAAGGATGGTTATTGGAAGCATCTTGAGAATAATTTTGATTGTGGGACTCCCGGCCATAGGAGAGAGTCAGAATTTGGGGAAGTTATTTTTGGCAGTATGACAACTCCCAGATTCTTCCAACCATGCTAGTTACTTGATATACTTCCCATTATTATGGTTGGCCCAAAGTGACATTTTATTCAGTAATTTTTGGGTACAGAAATTCAAAGATATAGCCCTGTTAGTCTGTAGAATCAGTTTGTAAAGAGATCCTGTAGCACCTTTGAGACTAACTGAAAGAAAGAAATTGGCAGCCTGAGCTTTCTTAGACTTCAGTCTACTTCCTGCAAATCCAAGTGCATCTGAGGAAGTAGACTTATCCAAAGAACCCAAAGAACAAACGCTCACTTGGCTTTCCTATTAACATCATAGACCTATGTCTACTTTCCCAATGCATCTGAGGAAATAGACTTATGTCTATGAAAGCTCAGGCTGCCAACCTTTTTCTTTCAGTTAGTCTCAAAGGTGCTGCTACAAGATCTCTCTACAGACTGGTTACAGGAATATTTGAGTTTCCTTTGCTGTCCATGTCTGGGTTTCTAGCCACTAACAAAATAGCTCTGGGCCTTTTCCTTGGCAGCTGCGACATAATTAACATTATCAGAGATTGAAGCAAATCCTCTGGACGGCAGTGGTTTTTTCTTCTCCAGCTAGTCATATGATACAGGGCAGAGGGATTCCAGAAAGGCAGCCACCTGCAAAGATCTACTGTTAGGGCAAAGCCCTGTCCGCCCTTCGGTTACGGAAGGAGCTTTAAGCAAGAGCAGATTGCTCTGTATTCCAATGCCCTTGACTGCATTTAAGGGCAAATGAAGGTAGCTGCCTTTGAAGAGTGGAGCATGGCTTCCAAAAATCACTGTTTTTCCAGGGACGGTTCCTATTTTCGCCAGGCTGTGCCTGGAAACATAGTGATTTCAGAAGCATGCACCACTCTTCAAAAGTAGCTACCGGTACCTTAATTCCCTCTTAGGTATAGCTAAGATATTAAAATTCAATGCTAGCAATTTGGGAATGCAAGGAAAATGTCATGGGCGAGGGAAGAGAAAACCTTATCCACTGGGCAATACCTTCATTTTGTCCGGCGGGGTAGCTACAAATGGACACAGTAGGAATATTGCCTGCCTCCCAAATAAGAATAAGAAATTTCTCTTTCTCTTCAATTCCTAAATTTCTGGCATTACAGAAAGGGTGTATCCACGCTGTAGAAGTCAAGCAGTTTGACACCAATTTCACACACACACATTGCAGATTGCCGCTGCCAGTAACATATTGTGGAGCGATGATGTTTTTCTAGCACATGTTGAACCCAAAGAACAAACGCTCACTTGGCTTTCCTATTGACATCTGTTCCTCC